CTTTCTGAGTAATTCTCTCAGATTTGACCTAACGTCAACGGTTTTGCCTGCAGGGGGCAGAAACTGCAAAAATAGCCGATTTTTTCGGAAACAGTTTTTCTGCAATAACTTTTGACCCAAGCCTTGTACGAGCTTACTTTTACCGGCATTGTGTTCCTCTCGTCAAGACGCATCGAATGAACTATAAGTTGACCTTGAAAGGTCAACATGAAAATTTGACCTCAGGTCAAGGTCATGACCTGACCGGAAAGGGTCATGTTGCATATCAGTAGATCCGTATCGTCGAGCTGAACACATCTAAGGCGTTTTAATCGCTCTAGCATGCCTCTATCAAAAGTTATTTGCGAAAAACTGTTAGATACCATTCGTGACCTAAGATGACCTCAGGGCATAAACAAGGGTCACAGACACCATTTTCATGTTCATTGTGTCTAAAACACTTGTAATTCGGTGTTTGGGAGTGTTTATAATGTCTTTTGTCCAAAACAGACGCTTTTCAATTTTCTCCCATTGACTTATAATGGGAGGTCGCAAAATTGACCTGACCTTAGGTCATCGATATCAAAATTCTGAGATATACATTTTGTACATGCTATTACTTTGAGCAATCGCTGAAAGTTTCAAAGCGATCGGTCACTCCGTGTAGCTCTGACAGACATTGAAACTTTTTATGAGGTGAGGTCACTTCAAGTGACCTGGTGACCTGACCTTGAATGACCTTGGTCTGAAATTTTCACAACATGTGTAGAATTGATGTATGATAAGGTGTACCAAAAACCGTTTTTGAGATATTCGCCCGTGTTTGCCCGCCCGGCCCGTTTTTGAGATATTCGAGAAAAACCACAAGGGGGGGGGGTGTTCAAACACCCCCCCCCCTCCCCCAGCAGGGCGCGGGTTAATGTCGGCTGGAGCCGGCCCGGCTGACCTGTCAATGTCGGCGACTGGACGGCCCGACTGACCAGTCAATGTCGGAAATCGGAAAAGTTGCCCGGCTGACCGGACCGATAATATACTTTTGCTTTTCAAACTCCCCCACTTACTCCAGTACCTTGTAGCTTCAATTGCCTTTTGCCGTCGCTTCAAACACACTACGCATATCCCAAGGGTGTGTTCAGAAGCTGCGCTGTGCTGTCACTAGTGCGCAGGATTTGTCTTAGCGTACTAGTGAAACTTTGTGCCTCGGGAGACAGCAGTAAGGTCTAGTTTAGTGGCAAACGTCACAGAGAATCGTCTCTATGGAAATTCCGGCCGGCTCTGAGTTATCACCTTCTTGCCACGTTTTGTCCCGTGTCACTGGAACAACTAATGAATATTGCTATAACCTACAATTCACTTAGCAAACTCAAAGTCAATGTGATTGAAATATTTGCGTGCATAAGAGAACCAACGAGACGAATTTCGAAGCAACAATGATAAATTAGAATGGATACGGTAGAAGTTGTTGCGTCTCGGACGGCCTTCCTTTTTGGAGAGACTCTGTGTCCCGGCACACCGGCTGGAGAGGGGGCGACATGTGACTTCACACCTCTGTGACGTCACACAGACACACACGTCCCAGTGACGTCACCACAGCCGTCACCAGTGGGCACCGCGCGCCGTCACCAATCGGCGCCATCTTTGACTCAGCCGTCACCACCACCGACTCGCTCCTACTCAGGGGGTGACTCGGAGTCAGAGGGACTCGGTTGACTCACCCATCACTCGGCTGACTCCGGATGACTCCCCAGGACACGTGATGAGTCCGTTGACTCCGGGTCACTCTGACGACTCTGTTGACTCCCAATGACTCTTCAGAGCTTGTTGGCTCGTATTCGTACTCGTTCACTCGTACTCGTTCGTCACCCGAGGACCATATACAGTTATCCTTCACATATACAAAGTGTATTCAAGATCAGTATAGGCTGCAGTGTCTGACCAGTGCAGGACACGCCGATCAGAATGGGCAGCTGGCCCTCAGCTCGGCTGCTCTCCGGTCCGTTCTCACGTCTGTAAGGCCGCCGTCGGACCCGTCGGACACACACCGCTGACCGTCGGCTGACCGGCCGAGGCCTCTCCGAGCTGCTGCTGACCGCCGCGGGGCCCGTCCCCTCTCAGCCCTCGTGGTACGGACCGATCACCGGGCCGGCGGGCAGGAGACACCCGCACAGCCGGCCAGCCGTGACACATGGGCGGGCGGCGCGGCGCACCGACCGCCGGGCACCGAGCGACGGCCCGCCTAGCCGGGATACGTATAAACAGCGTCTTAACCCGCTAACACAGCTCATTTTCACTCCCAGGACTCTATTATAGACTCTGGATGACTTCGCTGTCTCCGGAGGACTCCTCGACACCTATGTTCACTCCCATGATATCCGTTGACTCTGGATGACTCCCCATGACTCTGTATGACTCAGTAGACTCGTCGTGAGTCAATGTCGGTACGGACCGGAGCTGTAACAGACAACAAACACAACGGAGTCACAACAAACACACAACAAACACCATAGATGATATGTGTAACACACACACTACACAGCAAACAGAGTCGCCATAAATAACAAACAACATCGACGTGACATACAACACAGACTGGTTTATCGTCAATATATATTGCACCACGGTCCACTGTGCACTGTCCATTACTTATCACTGTACCGGCCATCTGACAATGTGTGTAGTAGACACCACCAGAAGAGGGGGACCCACCTGTGAGGTCTGGGTAGAGCAACAGGAGCAGCGGGCAGAGGAGGGGAGCACAGAGCCGCAGACAGAGCACGTCAGCGACACTAGCGCCGCCTACCGGTCTGGTCCGGAACCTGTGGTTGTCGAGTACACCGCATGGAGAGGAGAATAGGACGTCGAGAGGTTAGTGATCTCCTGAATACCACCCCCACTGGCGGATACAGTCGCCACCACGACCAAGATGATGATGTCGGGGAACCCGTGCGTCCTCTTGACACTGCAGCAGAGCCGACACCTGACCACGTCGTCATTAGAAGCGGAAACAGCGGTACAGGTGACGTCACATGTCAGGCTCCTGCAACACACTCAAATCTGGTGAATACTACAGTGCAATACTTACGTGTGGCTCTGTGTGGCTATTAGCATGACCCGCAATCCGCCACGTGGAGGCTGCCACATCGGACTGCGTCTCTATTATCGCCCGAGACCCCTCAGGTGGTGCAGAGCCCACACACCATTTCCTGAGGGAAGACGTGGCGGCCATCCGGCCCCGAGCATCCCATCTCGGTGTGCGCTGCTCGTAGACGGACTGCCACCGGGTGACAGACGGCCACCCACCAGACGGCCGACGGACTGCCACTGGGTGACAGACAGCTACCCACCGTAGACGGACTGCCACCGGGTGACAGACGGCCACCCACCAGACGGCCGACGGACTGCCACTGGGTGACAGACGGCTACCCACCGTAGACAGACTGCCACTGGGTGACAGACGGCTACCCACCAGACGGCCGACGGACTGCCACTGGGTGACAGACGGCCACCCACCAGACGGCCGACGGACTGCCACTGGGTGACAGACGGCTACCCACCGTAGACAGACTGCCACCGGGTGACAGACGGCTACCCACCGTAGACAGACTGCCACCGGGTGACAGACGGCTACCCACCGTAGACGGACTGCCACCGGGTGACAGACAGCTACCCACCGTAGACGGCGGACGGACTGCCACCGGGTGACAGACAGCTACCCACCGTAGACGGACTGCCACCGGGTGACAGACGGCCACCCACCAGACGGCCGACGGCAGTCGGTTGTCGAGTACTCGACTGGCTCAGGACGGCCGGACCAGGGGACCGTGGGGGCTGAAAGGATACCCAGCAGTCAGCTGACACGGCTGTATCACGACTGAGCGGCTGTCCCTGGGCTGGTAAAGTGTTATGTCCTATTGACGTCGTCGGGGACACAGTACCAGTAAAAGTTCAAGTACCCGGGGTCAAAGTTACCACATTTAGTAAACTTTTACAGTAATGAATAACTTTCAAATAAAGCAGAAACTAAACGCAAGTAAAAGATATCATTGAATCCACAACGTATATCCCCTTTAACAAGGACATAAAAAGCCCCTATACCTAATACATACCTACAACATGGTTATGAACAATTAGTAGCCACAACTCACTTCCGTTAACAGCAAAACTACCGTCGACAGTTGCTAACGAAAACTAGATCAAACTAGATGATCAAACACATATTAACAGACGCTTAGACACCGACCCCGCTGTCGGCTGTGCGGGGTTGATTGACGACCAGTTGTAGCCAGCTATACGACTAGACAAACGACTAGATTCGGAACCGGGGTCTGACCGGTTGGACATGGTAAATTCATGCGGGGTCGATAGTTTCTAGCCGTCGTCGTTGTGAGCTACCGATACAATATCGACACCTATTGCATCTGTTCGACGATCGTAGCGCCCCCTACCCTTTCCGGGTTCTTCGTCTGTTACGCTACCCGCTGACCAAGTGATGCCGTGACATATAATTAACAAACTGGAAATTTCGAAGCGCGAGTCTGATAAGCAATTTAGTACATATGACTGCTCGTAAAAAAAAAAAATAATATAGAAATGAAACCTAAGGAAACGCGCATCGTAGTTGCATGCAGCCTGCATACATGAATCGTAAAAAGGTCGGGGTCATTTTTCGCTCTCATTTTTTGGTCGGGGACGCAATTTGCTTTTTTTACCAGCCCTGGGCTGTCCCTGGGCTCTGTTCACCGTCATGGCGACAGCTGGCCGCGCGGGGATCTGGCGACGCCAACAGCGGAAGGGAAACGCGTCATCACGGGGCTGGTAATGCAATAATTGTGAGTCTGGTGTCAGTTGTGAATGCTGCTAACTACAAGTCGCCTCGTATCAAGTATATTCACAAACGTTGGAACATAAACAGGTATGCATCATGCAAATATCGCCCACCAAACTAACCTGTGTCGGGAGGCCTCTGATCCTGTGACGGGCGAGTGTGCGGCAGCTGAAATGCCGGACTGCCCGATTGGCTCCGGCGGTCGACGGCTCAGCTGCGCCAGAGCCGCACACCCGCCTCCGTCAACCTGCCGGTGTAGTAAATGGACAGGTGATCATTCAAGATGATTTATGAATGGCGTTTTTAGATTCTTGTAGTGAAAATTATTTATATTGAACGTAAGGTGGACTTGATAAAGCACAAAACTGAAACGGGCCACGGGAAACAGGACACGGAAACGAAACAAGGGAACTGGAAGCGGAAACGGGACACGATAACCGGGCAATTTGCAAAAATCAATAAGGAGATTCCGCTGGTGAACTCACGCCCGCTGGTGGTGGGCTTGCTCCTGAGGCCGGCGGTGCTGGTGGCGGTGCTGTCAATACTGACAGGGAACCTGAAAGACGAAATATGCATTACCAGCACCTAGACATTTGATTTGTGTTTAGTGGTAGCTTATTTACGTGCACAAAAGTCGCATACGTCAGAGCATTGTAATTCGTCACTTTTTACAAATGTCTTTTATCCCTTCCCAGGCGAGGGCCTTTTCCATAACCCGGCCGGGCCCGAGGGGTAATCCCAACCACCGGGGGGGGGGGGTTGGGCAAAAGCCCCCCCCCAGCCGGGGGGGGCGTTTTTCGCCCCCCCCCCCCTGTCTAACTCCGTAAATATGGGAGCTACAGAAACAAAAGCGATACCAAACGAAAGGTCATTACGAGACGATTCTAAAGCACCTAAAATTTTTGATCTCAGGTCAATTTTTAAGGTCAGAGGTCAAGGTCAAAGGCCAAAACCGGCACATGTGTAGTGATCTCAAAGTACATAAGCCTTCTAGAGGACGGGAGGCTGCATCAAACCGGCAAAATTGGGTGTCAAACGAAAGAAGAGAATCTGAGGATTCCGAAAATGTGCTCAAAATCAAAGGTCAAGGTCAAGGTCACGCTCAAAATTGACCTCAAACTTGGCACTTTTTCGCACATCTTGCGTGCTAACTTCCAAGATGTTTTGAAATGTTTTGAGGCTTATCAGTTCCCTATTTGTGGTTCATATTACGATACAAGGCTGCTCAAAGGTCAAGGTTACAGAAGAGTATCCCTGCTAGAGGCTATTTCACTAATTCAAGTTAGTTATAATAAATAAGACAATTTTGCCATCCGGAAGCTCTAAATGAAGGCTGAGAGGAAGATAGGTGCCAGATTCGTGATCAGCGGATACAAATCCATCATAAACGACCTTTCATGTGTCAAGGTCAACTAGAGGTCATTCGAGGTCACATGAGGTCAACATAAAATTTGACCTTTTCCGAACAAAATATATATCATTCGACGCGGCTTGACAACGCGAATGCGATGGTACCACTGCCGTAGCTCTAGGACCATTTTTGTCGAAGTTATTTGCAAAAACTAAAACCACATTTCGGGGTCGTTGACCTGACCTCTGACCTCAGGTCACCAAAACTATTTTTCTATTTTTCTCTAGGTCAAACGCTACACAACCGTGCTCGTAATTTGTCTTTATCTCTAAAAATCTATTTTTAGCAGCTATTTGAATTTTGCGTCTGTGACGCCAAAGTTTGCCGTGTAGGGGTCTAGAAAAATGGACCTTGTGACGTCATCAAGGGGGCTAGGTCCAAATTTTTACTTCAGAAGATGTCAAATTGATGGGAGAAAAGGTACTGAAAGTTTCGCTTTCCTATCCCTAAGCGTTCGGGAGCTATCGCAAATATTCGCCAGGGGGGGGGGGGCGAAAAACGCCCCCCCCCCCCCGGGCCCGCGAGGGTTAGCAAGGACGGCGAGGGGGGGGGGGTACGAACCCCTCGCGAATGGCTCCTATGGCACTTTGGTACTTAGAAACGCCAAATTTAAAGGGTAGGTGGGTCCATAGGAGATCTCGCCCCTGTGAATGTTTGGTAACTCTAAGTCAATATTTAGGGAGGTTTTGGGGGGTATGAGTGCAAAAATTGTGCTAAAACATGTTAAAAGTTTTTTTCGCTTATAACTTTTTACCTAGTAAAGATAGAGCACATATAAAAGCACCAGTGAACTCAGGACGTCCGTGCGCATCGAATGATATACTTTGTTACAAATTTTAGTGAACTCTGGAATTTAGTTGCCACTAAGCTAGTCCAATTTTCCCCTGACCTTGCACCGGTTTTTGTGACCTGGTGACCTGACCTGAAAAGACTGGGACTTCAACTTTTCAGCAAAGGTGCGAAAATGTTGCCCCAGAGGGTATGCTAAATTTCGCGGGGCTACGCGCTGCCGTTTTTACGTTATTTGCGAAAAACCTTAACCCTATTAGTGGCAGGGGGGTTTGTTTTCATCCACCCCTCAGGTTTTTCGGGAATATCTCCGAAACCGCTGAAGCTACGATGCTGAAACTTTCTGACTTTTCCTAAAACTAAATTGGGCACATTCCCTAAAAATTTCAAGTTCATATCAATACCAGGGGCGGCTCCAGAGCACTGGGAATTGGGGGGTCCTATTCGTGAAGTGATTCATTTGGGCGAAGATACGATGCTGATGTATTATAACTGTATGCACCAGTTTTACGAACAGTGAATGAAAGGTATCATGTGATAACATATACAAAGTTATTGTGCATCCTCTTTTGACACGTTTTGCTATAATAGGCGGATCCAGGCGTCCAAAAAGGTGGTTATTTTTTACCTCCCAATCCCAACATAGGTGCCCTGACAACGCCTATGCATGACCAATACAATTGTAGTCGTTCTCTCATAAGAAAATTGTAACATAACAAGACCATTACCACCCTTTTTAGAAACAGTACCAACAAAAACCTTATTTACTATACTTTTTGTGTACCCCCAATCTCAATGATCTGTATTCGCCTATGATTTTTGAAAATGCATATTTTTAGGATCCATGTAAATTCCTGGTTCATTCTCTATCGACCGGCAAAAGTTGCGTTTAGATTGGTTCAGAAACCTGGCCGTGATAAACAGTCTAAAATGTATCTGCAATTTGCCCGTTTTTACCCCCCTCTACCCCCCTTTTGACATTTTTAAATTTTTATTTTTTAGAAATGTAGATCACGTTGAGCGAAATCGAATGCCGTTTGAATTTTGAAAATCGGCCCGTTAGATCTCGAGATATCAAGGGGGGTCGTAAACAGCCCCCCCCCCCTGCCACTAATAGGGGTCCGGTAGCCAGGAGCCTGCCACTAATATAGGGTTAATTGGGTTTCATCAACAACAACCTCGTCGGGCGAGGTTTATGAATCAATGTTCAGCACGTCTACTCGATATTCTCCTCGATATTCTATATACGACTCGATACTCGATATGCAGAAGAATAAAGCATATGCCAAACGTCAGGCTAAAAGTTATTTAATGAAATTATTGCCTCAAAATGGAGTAAACATCCACTTGTGCTATCACAACACTCTTCAATCGCTCTCCAATTTCACATTTGACTCTTACCACCCGAGGAGCGGTGTGGTGTCTTTCACCTTCTCAGCTGCACCTGAAATGAGATAGCTAAATTAAATGTTTTCATTAGATATATAAATTCCTGGATATGATTGAAAAATGGTATGATCAACAGCTTGCTTGTTATCAAGTACAGCTACAAAATTAACCCGCGCACCGACGGGGGGGCCGGATATCCGCCCCCCCTGAGGTTTTTGCGAATAGCGGGAAAACCGCAGCGCGTAGCGCCGCGAAATTTGGTATGACTATTCCTTCATCAATTTTACACATGGTGTGCAAGTTTGAGCCTCCTACCTTTCAAGGTCAGGTCACCAGGTCACTTTGAATGACCCAACCTCAAGTCACTTTTTTGCAACTTTGTCACCGTGCCAGAGCTACAGTAGATGTCAGAGGCCTTTGAAAGTCGCAGGATGCTATTAGGTCATTAGTAGCTCCAATTTGTATATCTCGGAATTTTGATATCGGTGACCTAAGGTCAGGTCAATTTCGCGACCTCCCCATTATAAGTCAATGGGGGAAAAATCAACTCCCTGTTTTTACCACTAAAACGGGTCGGAATGGCCCCATGTACCATACATGACTTCATATACGATCAACCTTCACTACCTTGAGGTCTGTTTTGCTGTTGGGCAGCTGTGAGGTCATGTGACGTCATCAAAGGTCACCAAAGGTTTTTGGCCAATAACTCCGTACAGGAACAAGATACAGACGCGTGGATGGTCTCATTGTGTTCAGCTCGTCAAGACGCATATCGAATGATATACATGATGACCTCGAGGTCACGTGACCTGAGGTCAACCTTTGACCTTGACCTTTCGAGGTCAACATATATATCATTCGATGCGGATTGAGGAGAGGATCACGATGATGCCCTTAGTTTGTTCCTATCTTGACTAATTCGAAAGTTATTCGAGAAAAACTCTCTCCATATCTAGCGCCGCCATTTTGACTTTTTCGACCCGTGTGACGTCATCTTTGGCCTGACCTGAAAATGACCTTAGTAAAAATTGTAGATCTTGACCGTGCGTATCCGATGCCGTTTACCGATTGTCGCTATCTTGCTTCGTTCTTGAGATCTCAGGGGGGGGCGGTCATCCGCCCCCCCGTCGGTGCGAAGTTGGCGCAGACCCCCGTCGGTGCGCGGGTTAATTCCAGAACATCAATTCCTCCCCCCCAAAAAAAACGTTCCCGAAACTAACCTGTCTGGGGAGGCCTCTGGTTCTGTGACGGGCGACTGTGCGGCAGCTGAAATGCCGGACTGCCGGATTGGCTCCGGCGGTCGACGGCTCAGCTGCGCCAGAGCCGCACACCCGCCTCCGTCAACCTGCCGGTGTAGGTAAATGGACAAGTTATTCTTCTAGCATATTTATGTATGACGTCATCTGCATATTTCAAGTTATACTTTTATTAGCATCATGGACTACTGTATTACTAATACTATTAGTTACTATGTTGCTGACTACTGCATTATCGATATGGAGGAGTCTAGGTTGGCATGTAACAAAAAGGACTTTATAAAAAACACTTTATACAATTAGGTACGCAATACATAATGCAAAGGACTACATAAAAATACCAAAATACATATTTAAAATAAAAATATAAGGGACACGGGAATAGAGACGCATGGGACATTGACCCAGGAAAATATGTTCATATCAATAAGCAGATTCCGCTGGTGAACTTACGCCCGCTGGTGGTGGGCTTGGTCCTGAGGCCGGCGGTGCTGGTGGTGGTGCTGCCAAAGCTGGCAGGGGATCTGAAACAGAAAGATAAATATTTAGCACTTGCACCATTTGTACTTTGTAGGTATACATCGTAACTCGAAGTTTTTTTTTTTGACGACATGACAACTGGCCCAGGTATATCGCTTGCAAGACTCCTCACAATATTTATGAGATGAAGGTAGAAATAAACTAATACTAAGCATACACAAAGCTGTTTGAGATTACTATCAAATCATTTATCAATGTATTGATAACACATACACAATTCATGCGTGTCTGTACACTGTCAGTACAATACTAAAACACTCACGGAGGCTGGTGCTGGTGATTCCGGGGCCGGTGGTGCTGGTGCTGGTGCTGGTGATGGCTGGTGGTGATGGTGGACCTAAAATAAATGGTAATTCTCATCAATACTTGATCATATTTTTATTTCTATTTCCTGAGGTTTTGTAGAAAACTTAACAGTCTGGATATAAATGACCTCAGTTTTGACGTAACAGCCAAACATTTATGAGGATGTGTTTGTTTCGTCGTAACGAGCCTCAGCCTGCTATAAAAAACAAACACGCAAACAAACAAACAAACAATCAATCAAATAAATAAATAAATAAATAAATAAATAAATAAATAAACAAACAAACAAACACGCCATCGATATTTTAACGTTAGTTGAAACATACAAATGGAAACAACACAAAGGTCAAAGGTTTGGAAAAGGGGAGTATTTCTGGAGCCGCACCTACCTGCTGGTGGTGGACTTGGTGCTGAGGCCGGTGGTGCTGGTGGTGCTGGTGGTGGATGGTCTGAAAGGAAAGAAATACAAATTAACCGCAAATAGATGCAACTGTTCAGAAATACAATGGGTTCACCTCTGAACCAGTCTAATGGTCAGAAAAAAAAAATCATGACAGAGTCCGTTACCAATATTTGAGTGAGGATAGTTCTACAGTTCTTCCATTGCATTGATTGTGAAGCAGAAATTACTGACAAAATATCATGTGCAGCAAAGCAAAAAAAAAAGTTTTACGTTTTCAGGTTTCAATAAAAAATCAGACACTCACGGAGGCTGGTGGTGGGCCTGGTCCCGGAGCCGATGGTGCTGGTGGCGGTGCTGGACGCTGGTGATGGTGGTGGACCTAAAATAATACAAAGGTTTCAATTATTAGGTACGTAGAGACCAATTAGCGCCGCATATAATACAGATATAGTAAAACTGCTAATCACACAACATTTATGACTGAAATTGGTTTGACATTACATACGTAATGTCAAATAGGCCTAGGTATATTGTACCAATTTCTTCTTTTATTTTGATAAAAATCCCGTAAAAAACAAAAAATGATAATTGTGGTTATTTGACGCAGAAACCCGACCATTCATAACAAAATGAAAAGTCAGAACTGATCGTCTGGCAGTTGAAAAAAAAATCATTTAGATAAAATTTGTATCCTATCAACATTCATTACAATTGCCAAATATTTTATTTCCTATTGACGAGTAAAGCGGGCGACAATGTGCCCGCCGATATCGCGTCTGTACTCACGGAGGCTGGTGGCGGGCTTGGTGCTGAGGCCGGTGGTGCTGGTGGTGGTGATGGTTGATGGTCTGGAAAAGAATCAGCACATGTTGAGTTGCTCTTCATTGTAAGAAAATATAGCTTCACTTCTTTTCTTAACAGGTTTTACGATCATTGGTATTCCTGATGGAATATTTGTAACAATACAATGTATAGCCTATCGTAATAGAATTGGTGATGAAAAACAAACTAAAAATGTGCCTCGAAAGTCGAACTTACGACAAAAATCAAATACCTCCAATTTTAAAGTCAATTTGTGATAAGACATTTACGGACGCTGGTGACGGGCTTGGTGCTGAGGCCGGTTGTGCTGGTGGTGGTGCTGGTTAATGATCTATAAGCGAAAAAATACAAATTGACCGTAAACCGATGAAACTGTTGTAAAATACAGTGAATTCACCTCTCAACCAGTCCAACGGTCAGCAAAATCCTGACGGAATCCGTTGTCAGCGTTTTATTATTATATTTTATTATTAAAGCGTTTTATTTTATTATACATATTATTCTTCCTATTGATCTGATTAACCCGCGCCCTGCTGGGGGTCCTGGATTTCCACGCCCTGCTGGGGGGGGGGGGTGTTTGAACACCCCCCCTTGTAACTCGGCTCCTGGGCCACGTAGCGATCCGCGGAAGGCGGCGTTCGAAAGAGCGTCAAAAATAATGACGAAATCACTTCGGTCAATTTTTTGGTCAGGTCAAAGGTCAGGTCACCAGAGGTCATTGAAGGCAAAATTTCGCCGATTTCCAGGTCGAATGTCGAAAATTTCTAAGAAGCCAACGCATAACTCGGGAACCAATAGAGCTACAGCGCCGCGGAAAAGTGCATTCGATAGCCCTTTTAATGCCCTTTCTGAATAATTCTCTCAGATTTGACCTAACGTCAACGGTTTTGCCTGCAGGGGGCAAAAACTGTAAAAATAGCCGATTTTTTCGGAAACAGTTTTTCTGCAATAACTTTTGACACAAGCCTTGTACTAGCTTACTTTCACCGGCATCGTGTTCCTCTCGTCAAGACGCATCGAATGAACTATAATTTGACCTTGAAAGGTCAACTTGAAAATTTGACCTCAGGTCAAGGTCATGACCTGACCGGAAAGGGTCATGTTGCATATCAGCCGATCCGTATCGTCAAGCTGAACACATATAAGGCATTTTCATCGCTCTAGCATGCCTCTATCAAAAGTTATTTGCGAAAAACTGTTAGATACCATTCGTGACCTAAGATGACCTCAGGGCATAAACAAGGGTCACGGACACCATTTTCATGTTCAGTGTGTCTAAACCACTTATAATTCGGTGTTTGGGAGTGTTTATAATGTCTTTCGTCCAAAAGAGACGCATTTCAATTTTCTCCCATTGACTTATAGGGGAAGCCGGGGGAAGCCCGGCATAGTAAGCTCTTTTTGATTTTTATTACATACCATACGTGCTGTATAAAATGTTGACATCCTGCTAGCTAGCTAAGTTCATTGGCTGTGTTTTCCCAAAAATTCGGTTTCGTGGAATAAGTATAAGGTTGAGAAAATCGAGTTTCAAAAAAGTGTTGATTTTTCTGGGGTAAGCCCGGCATAGGGGTAACGCCGGCCACCTCCCCAGCGCTTTACAACGAGTTGATGAAACCATTATGTGTTTTCCAAATATTAACGGAAAGTGAAATATTAAGGTACTAATTAGCTCTGGACATCTTAGAGTTTATGTCACTACTGGTATTTAAGCTAGCGTCTACTACATATACAGTACAGGTCGATGAAAATCGTGATGCAAAATTGACAAAAAATGTGTATTTCAAAATTCCTTAAAATTTATTTTTCTTTTTACCTTAATGCATCATATTGCATATCATTCGACTCGGCTGATGAAGAAGAACACAACGACACCATTTTTGAAGCTCTAGCTTCATTGTCTGTCGCGTTATCTGCAAAAACGTAGTTTGACCCTAGTTGACCTTAAGTGACATGACTGGCTTTGTCTATGATAACATGTTTATTTTCGAAATTTATCTTTGATCTAGGTGTAAACCAAACATGCTCAGTACCTATTATCTCATGGAAAACAGTGGTTTAGTGGCCATGCTCTCGGTTGGGGGTAAGCTTGGCCACTCGCCCGGGGTTACCCCAATGTGCTAATTTTTATTTTAGAACAGCGATATTCGAAAAAATGTCATACTTAAGCCAGCCTGCCTCGTCACCCCTCACTACAAACACTTAAACGGTCCTTACATAACATTCGTATAAATATTAGTACTGTATGGTATAACATTAACAGTGCAACACATCTCACTTTTTAGCTAAAAACCCTTAAAATATCATTTTTGCGCTATAACTTTAACAATATGCATTTTTTGTCGGCCTTAACTTTTTTGCTCGCGTTACCTTAGCTGCCACGCTGAAAGGACAAACAGTTGAGCATTTTATTGTGAATAATTTAGCCGGAAACGGGGTGGCCGGGCTTCCCCCGCGCCCGGGCTTCCCCCGGCTTCCCCTAATGGGGAGGTCGCAAAATTGACCTGACCTTAGGTCATCGATATCAAAATTCTGAGATAAACATTTTGTACATGCTATTGCTCTTAGCAATCGCTGAAAGTTTCAAAGCGATCGGTCACTCGGTGTAGCTATGACAGACATTGAAACATTTTATGAGGTGAGGTCACTTCAAGTGACCTGGTGACCTGACCTTGAATGACCTTGGTCTGAAATTTTCACAACATGTGTAGAATTGATGTATGATAAGGTGTACCAAAAACGGCGGCGCTCCGCGCCGCCGTTTTTTAGATATTCGCGAAAAACCACAAGGGGGGGTGTTCAAACACCCCCCCAGCAGGGCGCGGGTTAATAAGAAGAAATTGCCGAAAAAAATTTCCTATGTAACATAGCGAGAAGAATAAGTTTTACGTTTTCAGGTTTCAATAAAAAATCAGACACTCACGGAGGCTGGTGGCGGGCTTGATCCCGGAGCCGGTGGTGCTGGTGGTGGTGCTGATGCTGGTGATGGTGATGCTGGGGACGGTGGTGATGGCGGACCTGAAAAAAATACAAGCGATTTATTTATTGTATTTGACATGATCACCTTATCATACAGACAGAGCGGTAGCAATGTCTACGGCAAAATGAACAAAATTGCTCTGACACTTATATGCAATACAAACAGTTTCGACACAATATAACAAAACCGTAAAATTTGTAACTGAAAACACAGGTTCATGCTGTTTTTCACACAGATAGAGGACTACTAGGGTTACCCGCGTGCTCCGCAACGCGAAGAAGGGTTATTTTTGACCCGTGGGTATTGGGTTGGTCTGTGTCGATTTGGTTGGCATCCATTTCGTTCGATTGCTTTTCGACGGCCAAGCATTTTGTAATAAAGCAAAAAAGGTACATCGCATCGAGGTGCCCGTGTCGTATTATCATGCGTTCTACTTAAGAATGATTCGGAAACTGGCGTGAAGTCTTTTGAGGACCATCGATGAATTTCGCTGAAAATGACAATGTAATGGTTTGGAAGATTTACATTTTTAAGAATACTGTTGCTCATCATGGAAAAATGAAGACTGAACCTTGGACAGAATTGAATGCTCTATCCAACGGTGCCATTTTCAATTGCCAGATACATCAGATCATGGAGCAAAGCCATTTTGATGAACAAAGTGACACCAAATTGACAAACACCATTTTCTCCCGTGATTTGTACCACCTTGATTTGGATCAATCAGCTTTTCACAATTTTTATATGATAGGCGGTACCTTTCTCTTGCAAATAGGCGTTGATTCAACTCGCTCCATTTAACGGTCACCTAAAAATAAAATTAATT